TCTTGGGTCTGTAGTCTTGGGTCTGTAGTCTTGGGTCTGTAGTCTTGGGTCTGTAGTCTTGGGTCTGTAGTCTTGGGTCTGTAGTCTTGGGTCTGTAGCCTTGGGTCTGTAGTCTTGGGTCTGTAATCTTGGGTCTGTAGTCTTGGGTCTGCAGGCTTGCTTGATAATTTCACAATCATGTCCCTATCTTCTTTAGAAAGTTACGTTTTCATTTACAGCACTCACCTTTCCCTTTGCCGTCTTGCTTCAGCCTCTGTTTTCTTTCTTTCTTCCTCCAAACGTTTCTGTTTCTCTGCATCCATCTGCAGACATTAGAGAACTTTAGATTTAACTACGAGTATGATATTATGAGTAAACGATTTGCTACATGCCTGTCACGTCATATTTTTGTTGTTGTTGTCAAAATGTCATATACTGTCTGCTTGCTAATGACGGTGCTAACAGACAGGAACATGACGAATCTTGTATGTTGTGGGTATATATACACTCTCTCAATCTGATAAGCTTGTAGACTTGACACAAGTGTGCCTCCGAATTTTTCCCTTGTCTTGTTGGGCAAGTAAAACACAAAATAAAAATGACCTCATTAGACATAAGCCTGGGCCCTGCACTGGCCCTGTTAAGCCTGGGCTAGCCCAGCATTATTTAACTTTGTTAGTTGTTTCTACCAAAAGTTAACCCAAGGTACATTTTTACACCTCTTTCCTTCATTTTCAGTGCAGAATAAATTTTCCCCATTTCGGTGTTTTTGTTCAGATTTCAGAAAATAGACAATAGCCCCCTTGTGGTCCGAAATTGAGGCTGCAAGTAGGCCAACTGCCAATTATAAGCCAAATCTGCTGCACTGCTGATTCGCCATTATTTAGAGTCCTGCGGACTGTGAGAGATAGGAATGTTCGGTATGAGAAATTTCCGGCATCGGTATACCGAAAAAATTATACCGATAGTATCGGTATACCGGTTTTCCTTTTATAATTATAAAGGAAAATTCTTTAATGGAAGTTTGAAGGAAATTTTGAGTAATTCTAAAAGGGAAAACGATCATTTCGAAGCTGTTTCGAACAACATGCACGTACTCAGTGTAAAATCTCACTGAAGTGGAAATTCTAAATCATTGCAGTAGAAAGTTCTTTGAATTGCCATTCAGTAGTAAAATAAAGGTTATGGTTTCGCCATATAGTTGGTAAATTTAACACGATATACCGAAAAATTCCGATATATCGGAAATTTCGGTATATCGGTATGGTTGAATATGCGGTATCGATATACCGATATTGATTTAATGCCGATATTTTCGGTATATCGGTATACCGCACAGTCCTAGTGAGAGACAGCACAGGTAACCCACCTGTTTTCTGATCTTTTCTTTTTCCTCGTCCTCTTTCTTTTTCATCTCGAGTTCGACCGCAATTTTCTCCATTTCTTTCTCACGACGTCTCTGTTCAGCAAGGAGCTGTTTCTTGCTTTTAGGTTTCGGCTGTAAGGGACATGTAAACTGCTTGAGTTGCGTTGCGCAGAAAGTAATACATTATAATTTTATTCTGTCTACTACCAGACGATTTCACTCGTCAAGGGAAGAGCACTGATGTGCAATGGGTAAAAAACTTCTTTTTGACATTGTAAAGAGTCAATGGACGACTTGCGCTTTAGAAAAAAATTTAATCTGGGAATAACAAAGGATATTTTCGGAAAGAAGTTATCAAAATTAGAAAAACTGCAAAGCTTGGTTGCAAAATGTTGTAAAATACGGAAAATAGCCCTGCGAAGTTGCTAAATTTGTACACATTTCTATTACGTGCGGAAATTGGTAACTAATTTAGTTACCAATTCGCGCACATAATACAAAAGTATACAAATTTGCCAACTTTGAAGGGCTATATTTTCCGTATTTTACAACATTTCGCAACCAAACTTTGTAATATTACTAATTCCAAAACGCTCATTCTAGCTGTGGTGATAGATTTCGTTGTTCTTACTTAGATTAAAATTTAGTCTAAAGCGCAAGTCGTCCATTGTTATCAAGATGTCTATATACACTGTACCAAGCAGCATTAAAATATACAAATGTGCGAGCGAGAGGCACCTTTTCAATCAGTGCAAAAATTCATCAACCAGATATTTTAAGAATACTTAGCTCTCAAAACCTAAAATATGGTACAATTTTGCAAGCAGAGCGTTGGACTAGCATTGGACAATAGTATCCCAAAGGTTGGAGGTGTTCGATTCCCACCGTGTTCAGACAAACTTTTGAGCTTGCCCGGTGTGGATGCACACTCAGAGTAACATCACAAACATCACATTTTGAAGTTATGAATGTTGCTCGCAGGCACTAGATAAGCTTTCGTTTGTACTATAGGTGAAATAAATTCTAGCCTGCCATTTCATTCATTGAACTGCCAAAATGGCGATGTCTCATATAAGTCATATTGTAAAAATCAATGTTTTCATGATGTGCATTTTTATTGTTTTTAAACTTGTCTATTTTACTACTCAGTAAACTTGGATTTACAATTCAAATATGAACATATTTAGTGAACTAAGTGATCTAGTATATACGAGTTGTGGTAAGCAAATGAAATGAATTTGCCCGCTATTTCTAAAATATGGCCTGCTTTTGGCCATTGGCAGCCCGCTATTTCGAACCCTGAATTTAAACCATACCTTTGACACAGGAACCTGTTGCTGTTTCCCTTTCTTTGGTGCTTGCTGGTTTAGAAAATACAAAAAATACAAGATATATACTTTGTTCATTCTGTTTTTCAATTTTTTATTGGCTAATAGATGCACCTCAATAAAAATAAAACCTATAACAAACAAGTTGTTAACCTTTTTAGGGTCTTTCTTGGCTTCTTCCCTCTGTCGTACAAGATTGTCTCTACACTTCACAACTTTGTCTTGCGTCATATCTTCAGGAACGTCTTTGCCTTTCTTCTTACGATTCTAAGAGAATTAGAATACTGTAAGCCTCCCAGTTATCAGCTCCATCTGCTATTTTAACAGGCCTTAAAATATGGGTCAGTCACAGACATTGTCCAACCCATTTGTGAAATAGACAATTCCCATTATACAGTAGACTAATTTTAAAACTAGGCAAGGAGATGCAAATAAATCACCACAGCTAGAAAGAGCATACTAAAATGAGTAAAATTGCAAAATTTGGTTGTGAAATGTTGTAAAATGGTGATTGCTAGAAAGTATACTTCAAAATAAGGTTTCCGTTTTTATAACGTAGAAAAAACCATCCTAACGCAAAACTAAACCCTATCCCTAATATTAACCCTAACCCCAACCCTAACCTAACCTAACCCTAACCTAACCCTAACTTATTTTAAAAATTAATATAAAAACGGAAACCTTATTTTGAAGTATACTATCTAGCAATTGCCGTTGTAAAATACGGAAAATATAGCCTTGCAAAGTTTGCAAATTTTGTATACTTTTATATTGCATGCGGAAATTGCTACCTTTTTCGGCCCAAATGTGGTTAGCAATTTCCGCACGCAATACAAAAGTATACAAAATTTGCAAATTTTGCAAAGCTATATTCGCAACCAAACTTTGCAATTTTACTCATTTTAGTATGCTCTTTCTGGGGATATACTTTTTTGCCAAGATAAAAATTAGTCTATAATGGGAATTGTCTATTGTCCAATGTAGCCTGAGGAAACCACTGGACATTCTGTCCAACCTAAGTGAAACTGAGGTTTATTGTTTGTCCGACCCAAATGAATTGGTGTCCAACCTAACTGTAACTTTGTTCAACATTAAAAAAGCCCTTAGTCCAGGACTAGAGGATTGTATATTAAATGGAGAATCAGAGTCATGTATAAAACGTGAAGTGGAAATGCATAATCAAATGTTGGGTTTTCACCATGGGAAATTCATTGCCAAAATTGAAATGACTTGCCCAAATTGTGCTGATATTATTTTGTGTCTGCATTCATACTTATTTCCAAGCTATACTGAACTCAAAGTCATGGGACATCACAATACATATGTCTGACCCAAACTCAAAGTCGTCGAACATTATGTCAGACGGTTCTCTGACCGATATTTGAAGGCCTGTTTTGACAAAGTAATCTGCTCATCTAGAGAATATAAGCTTTCACCCAAACTCTCATTGATAGACAAACCTTCAAAATCTCAAGTAATCTTTCAAATTCCCTCTCAATATCAATTTCATTATCATCTTCTTCACAACTGGAACATAAAAGAACAACTCCATTTAAAACATCCATTTTTATTATCATAGAAAAACATATATTTACAGTCGATTTCACAAAACTTTGACCACAAATTTTCCGAACTTCGTTGCGAAGTTCGTTGCGAAGTTCAAAAGTTCATAATGAGATTCACAAACCAGTTTGTAAACTACGCATTTGATTGGCTTCCTTTACTTCAGGGACCAAATCAGGGACTTTGTTTACAAATTGGCTTGTGAATTGTAAACTACACATTTGATTGGCTTCCTTTACTTCAGGGACCAATCAGGGACTTTATTTACAAATTGGCTTGTGAATTCCAATATGAACTTCCGAACTTCGCAATGAACTTGCGAACTTCACAACGAAGTTCGGAACATTTGTGGTTAAAGTTTTGTGAAATCGAATGCAACATGTCACAAATCAAAACGTCAGTTCTCACCGATATTCATCGTCGGCACATTTGGTAGCATCGTGTTCCTGAAGCATTGCACGCAGTGACTGCGCATTATCTGAAAAATTATGTGAAAATCTTGTTTAACCCATTAAGCACCAGCGCTCTCCCATGACGAGTAAAATTGTCTGGCGTTAGAATGAGAAAAATTGGGGGACAATGCGACTCAATGACTTAACTACACACATGGGCAGATAGGCCAGCTAACCCATTAAGTGCTGGTGCTCTCCCCTTGACGAGTGAAACTGACTAGCTAAAATAATAGAGTAGAGTGCATCAACACACACTGTGACTCAATGGGTTAATTGTTGCGTTTATAGGAAGGCTTGCCATCTAGGAAGATTGCACATTTGCATAATTGCACCACTTATGCACAATGATTGTTATAAAGGAATTTTTTTATTTTGAAAATGGGAAGCAAAAACCTCACGTTCTTACAATGAGTTTGAATATCATTGCATATCAATTCTTGGTTTTTCAACTATTTAGGAAGAATTTAATCAATCTTGTCGTTTTTGGAACAATTTTACTGCATGCATGTTTTTTCTTGATTTTTTATAGGATATATTAGTTGGTTTCAAATAATCTTGGAGCAATGGTGAAATGAGTTTTAAAATCGTAATGGTTCATTCTGGAAAAGATCCCCCCCCCCCCCAAAGAATATTTTTGCTGTCCAGAAGGGGAGGGGGGGGGGGAATTTGCTTCTGATAAGTGTATATTTAGAAGGGGGTAGGGGGAATTTCCTCTGTAGGTGAGGTATGAATGTTGGAATGACTCAATTGGGTAACAGGTTAAAAAAGGTTAAATACTCAATATAGAAAGTAAAATTTACACACTTAAAAATTTTTGGGAAATGTCTAATATTTTACAGGCGAAACACTGTTTTTCTTCATGTGAAACAGGATCTTAACCGCTGCCCTTCCCCCTCGCCACTCTTGGGATAGTTCCGTTTCCTTCTGCAGTAACAACACTGGGCCAACACAGGAACTATTTTAATAGCATTGGACATCCACATTCGAGACAGGCTTGTACAGGAACTAAGCATTATATGCCAAGTAAGCACAATATAAAAAAAATTCTAAAAATTACACCTACCGTCTTTGAGAACTTCTTGGAAAAATTTGAAGAAAACCTAATTTTTGTTTTGGAAAAAAAGGGCAACAAAAGAATATTAATTACACACACAAATGAATGACATTTTGACAGAAAATTATTGACAAGCTGATGAAAACAGAAATCAATGTAAAATATTTTATAAAGGAAGATGTAGACATTGTATTTAATTTCCTAATACACACTAATAGTACCTCATCTGGTGTTGCACCGTCAGATCCATCTATATAGGAAATAAAATCTCACATAAGCTTTATACATTGTACATATTTGTAATACATATAATTTATAACAAAGACTATTCTCGTACATTAAAACGAATAACAACATATACATAAAACAAATTTATATAAGTATCTTACGGTAGGATTAAACTAGTTAATAATATAAACGTCTACCAATTTAAAAAATGCTCAATACTGACCAAAATAGACCACAAATATGCCGAGTTTATCGAAGTAAATTTCGACTTTTATTAGAGAACGCTTTATATTCACCTGACAAATTGCTATAAGCTTGTGTCACTTCAGTGAAACTCGCCATTTCGCTGTTATTCTGTGAAAAAAGACATAAAAAAGCTTAGAAAACGCTTCTATTTAACAGCCAGGTTCTAGTGGTTTAAAATGTGGGTGTTTTAAAGTCCCGACTGGGGTTTTCGAGTGGGGAAATTATGTTTTTATGAACGTAAATAAACAGACATGTTTGAAACGCGTACCTTGACTGTGTCCGGATACGAGTACAGCGATTTCTTGAAAAAAGCTAATCTTATATCATCTAGAGATGGAAAAATTTAAAGCCATTAGTATAATCCGTGCTTTATCGTCACATCGAGTCGGAGAAATTCTGAAAATCGTCGGCTTTTGATGAAGTAGGTATAAAATTCACACAACAACCGGACGCAATGGACAAGATTAGAAGCGAAAAAATCTCGTACTTTTCGAAGCATTTCTTTCTAAACCAAGTACATCGAGGCTTCGTTGTTTGTCGTCTTTAGGCATACTATTGACGCCAGTTCCTGCAGCGAACCGAAGCTAGATTGCTGTCTTTTTTTGGATTATTTTTGACTATATTTTTCTTGCCTTCTTTTCGAATTATGTCTCTTTTCAATATGGCGGCTTGCGTGGGAACGAGGCTCGCGTGGACTACACGCGCGACAACGAATGCGAAAAATTTTGACCACGTGACGATGATCTGCCGTCGATTGCGTCTAACGATGAACTGACGCAAACGGGGGGAAACGCATAGAGATTATAAATAACACGTGTTATTTATAATCTCTATGGGGAAACGTATATTCTCACGTGAGACTTTCATGTCTGTCAAAAGCATTTTATGCTTCAATGTGCTTTCGCATAACACTTAGCATTATTAACAGAAGCGCAATTCAGTCCTGATCCAGTGATCATAATGTTCTATATATTGTCTTTCAATCAATCATTGTTTTGTCAATGTCATCCAATCATTGTTTTGGGCAGTGGTTTTGATTCATGTGAGCGTTTTATGCAAATGTCTTGTCAGCCTGAATAAGATAAAAGCGTCTTTTTTATTGCCCATGTTCTTGTGTGAGATTGACACGAAAAAGCAAAACGAACTCATTGAATAATAATATATAGTAAGACTTGTTGACCGTTCAAAACTCAAAAGGCCAAGAAAAACTTCGAAAACTGACCCACTGAATTTGTTGATGCAAAATTCCCACAAAAACTTTTAAACTTTGATAGTAAACCTCTTACGTGGCTCTAGCAGACAGCCTCGTTTTGATACACCGGTCTGGCTCAAATTTCCATATTAATAAGAAAACATGAAAATATGAATGAGCACTTATATATCGGAGCAGTTAGAGAAATATTAATCGCTTTTTCATGGCTCGAACTGCTAGCCTAAATTCAACCTTATTCGACATAATGGACTCGGCCGAGGGCGAAAATTATTACACAGGTTTGAAATTTTGTTTGATTTTAGATTATTTTACGTATTGTTGTATTTGTTACATTATATAAGCGCTTGAGCGGACCATTGTCAATATACCAATTTGAAACATTTCAAAATTTACTGTTATTATTTGATATAATAAGGAATTTAACAAAATACAATATTTTGTTAAAATTTTATCCAGTTTGTCAATGAGTTCTATGTCTTGTTGTTATTTCGCCGATTAATAATAAACCGGTGTTATGTTTCAAAATAAAACCTAGATCATGGCAATAGCACGAAAAGCAAGTATATATGTATGACCTAATCGCGCCCCAACTGTTCTTAAAATTAATTTGTTACAATCGGCGAGAATGGTTTGTATTCTAAATGATTTTAGTTACAATTCAAAGTATTTTTGCTGTAAATTTTGTTGAAAATATTTCACATTTTTGTCGGCCTTTGCGTCCGATAGCAAGTGTCGCTCATACTCATTTGATACGGTAGTTTGCTATTCGATAAGGTTAGTTTTAACACTTTATTTGTAATTTTTTCAGAATTTAGATTTTTGTGCGAATGTTCAACGTTATACAACATTTTCAATGTATACATTTTCGCCGAAATTGACGGCAAATTTTTTAAAAATTCTCAACAGGTTTAGTATATTGATCAGCCAAGCTGAATATTAAAAATATTAATCCCAGAAGTTAAAGAGTAACTGTATTTTAATCATAATATTAAGTTAAAATTCCTGTACGTTTTTAATAAAAATTTGTAGATTTAATAATAGCCTTGCGATTCAAATGTGTGCTAGTATTTCGTTAAAAACGTTGCCTCCAAGATTTCACGCAGTCAAGGAGTACGATATTAAGATATTAGATAAGTGACTATTAACATCTTTTTCTATGCAAAAGGTTTGGCCTATCAATCAAAATTAAGGCCTGAATAAATAGAAAATACAGTTAATTTTTAATAAGAAAGTACAGTAAATATTAACTAGGTGGATGGGTATATTAATACATATTTTTGAATTTTGAATCAAACATTCGAATGTCTAGCTGTTCCATTGTCACATCAGACAGTTATTTATTGGTTTTGAAGATTTTGCCATGGAAACATGAATGATATGCACGGTATCCTAGGAGCAATTATCTGATGCTTGTCGCAATGATGCAATACTTATGTAACACTCTTTATAAAGATAGTACACAATTAACTTCCTCATCTGGAGCAGAGATTATGTCATGTCTATTTGAAATGTGATTTTGTGATGGCCAGTCAAAAACAATATTGCAAGACTGTTTTAACATTGATTGTTAATACCCAGGCATTAAGTTGCATTCGGTCTAACACTAGGCAATTTTACTTGTCAAGGAAAGAGTGATGATGCCATGTATCCAGTAAATCTAGTTAATTAATCCATCATTTACATTGCCAAATTTTTAACATTAACAATTAGTTTTTTTAACACTCACAATATATAGGTAAGGGGTTGAAGGCTAGGTCAGGCTAGGGGATGATTTGCAGCTTAATATCTGGTTAAACTAGGTGTGATGTAATATGCGAGCAAATAGTTCTATTGAGTGCGAGATGCCCAAAACCTGATATTTAGCTGAGCAAATAGCTTTTAATCTTGATTCATGAAAGCAAGGATGGGTTGTGGCATAACTATCAAAATGGGATACCGATCACTGCAATCTGGAACGTTTCCAAGCAGGGCTGCAGAGACGGGTCCAGCTCCTGTGGGGTCACTACCATGACACCATAGGTGGCCCCATGGTGGAGTTGCCTCCAGGTCCAGAAGAGTTCATGGTTGCCCAGTATGTAAGCACTAAGCACTAAACATTTCAATTCAGCCCAACTCCCCCTTAAAGAACCATAGACATGGATGAGGCCTCCAACCCAGCATAGGCATACGAGGCAGGGGGGAAACTGCGTCCACAAAAAACTACTTTAGAAAAGCATGGAATTTGGGCAAAATCTAGAGAAAAGTAAGAAAATTCAGGTAGATTTAGCAGAAAATATGTTAAATTCAAGTTATTTCATTACAATCCTCCATAAAAATTTGGGCAAACTTTCAGGCAAAGCATCAGCCCTGTCTGCCTATGCAACCCAGCAACCTTTACAGGATACACTTTTTTTTATTCTCTGAATCAGATCAAATGAACAATATATCTGATCAAATGAACAATACCTGATCAAATTAACAATATCTGAGTGATCAAATGAACAATATCTGATTAAATGAACAAATATCTGATCAAATGAACAATATCTGATCAAATGAACAATTGATGTGACTCAGAGAATTAAAAAAGATATGTAATGGTAAATATTTTTTCATTGGTTAGACCTCGAGCTTGCAGCGGCAATTGGTAAAAATTTGTTAGAAAGGAATAAAGAACTGGAACTATTTCTGTGCTCAACTCAGGAGTATGCTGATGAGCAAGTGCAGAAAAGTCAGGTGAGTGGATGACTGACTTGTAGTTAGCTGGATGAACTTACTGTACTATAATTACCTGCTAAGGGGCACATTGCAGCTTAATGGGCTAAGAAAATTATCTGCAGAATAGTCTGGTTAGCATATTATGCACAACAGCAAATTGTTGCAGATCTGCAAACAAGTTGTAACAAGGTTGTTGTCAAGCCGATATCAGGATGTGTTCGCACTGCTTGTTCCCAGTTGTTGTGGCAAGTCTGGAACAAGTTTGGCTAGTATTCCAAAGGTCGTAGGTTCGAATCCCACCGTGGCCGGGCATATTTTTCAAGCTCGCCCGGTGTGGATATGCACTCAGAGTAACATCGCAAACATATCTGGAACAAGTTGTTAACACCTTGTTACAAGGTTGATGACAGTAATAATAATAATAATAAATAATAATAAATACTTTATTTAAACGGTTAAAAATCCCATCAGCAATGCTGCTGGTATTAATGGGAGAACAGTTATTACAGTTATCAACGATTGTATACAATATAAACATGCATCCTAAATACTACAAATATGAGAATTGTTGTCAAGTTCTAAAAGATGCGCGTAAACGATACGTTTAAATTTTGAGAGTGATATCAATTCTCTAATGTTTAATGGTAAAGAGTTCCAGCATACTTGAAAGTAGATTGACCTATTGCACTGTTCACCTTCGGAAGATCAAGCAGCGTCTTATCCCTCAGGTCTCTGTTGTGCATGCAACGTCTGAATTTGCTTCTGAATCTCAGTTGACCGGGGCAGTCCGAGTTGTACAGTATCTTGAAAATACTCATAAATCGTAAAAATCGTCTCCTGCTGTGCAATGTCAGCAGCTTCAGTTCGCTGCGCATCTCTTGAGAGCATTTTCGCCTTCCTTTGTGAAGGATAATCCTCAAAGCACGATTCTGCAGTTTCTAGACCCGCCTCGTTTGGATTATTCCACACTCATGCCAAACAGTCGAACCATAGTCCAAGATGGGTAGTATAGTTTGTTTGTAGATACGGAGTAAAATTACGGAAGGTAGAAATGATGATATGCGATTGAACAGTAACAGACTTTCTACAAGTTGTTCCAACAAGACTAATACAGGCTGTTCGTAACAAGTTGCTACGAGCTTGTTGTCATCAACTTGTTAACAACTTGTTACGTGCAGACGATATCAGACTTGTTGGAACAACTTGCTGCGAGTCTGCTGGCCTCTGCAACCTTGTTACAAGATGATAACTTGTTCCAGACTTGTCAACAACTGGGAACAAGCAGTGCGAACACATCTTGTTCACAAGCTGTGAGATTTTTAATGCGAGTAGCGTTACACACATAAAAAACGCACAAGTTGTAACAAACCTGCAGCAGACTTGTAGCAATGCTGTTCCAACAACTTGTCAACAGGATGTGTTCGCACTGCTTGTTCCCAGCTTGTTGACAAGTTGTCAACAGGTCATTGATAACTTGTTACAAGGTTGTTGAGCTCAACAGACTTGTTACAAGTTGTTCCTAAAAACCTGTTATCGTCCTGCAATTCAACAATTTGTCAACAAGTTGTGAGTGACAACCTTGTAGCAACTTGATAAAATAACAGCATTGTTACAACTTGTTGACAAGCTTGCTACAAGCCTGTTGCGAACACATCTTGTTGACAAGTTACGAGATTTTTACGTGTTTTGTACACACGTAAAAACGCACAAGTTGTTACAGGTCTGCAAACAAGTTGTCACAAACCTGTTCACAAGCTGTCAACAAGTTGTGTTCGCATTGCTTGTTCCCAGTTTTTGGAACAAGTTTGGAACAAGCTGTTAACATCTTGTAACAAGCTTGATGGCATTATCAGCAAAGTTGTTCTAACAAGTCTGA